GCAGGAATGTGTGGGCTCCATTTCCCACTTGCAGTAAGTGAAGGAGGCCTCCTGTCACCTGGTGGCTGTCCCCTACCACACAGTCCCACTGTGACACCAGCCGGGCCCCAGCTTACACTCTCTTCTACATTCCCACCTCCAGCACGCTGGCCACAGATGGATCAGCCAAGACTCAGCTGGGAAGTCGTGCAAGTCCACTCCAGATTGCTAGGCCCTGCCTCTTGTTAGCGGCCTTGACTTTAGGGAGCGCCGGGACCCCGTTTCCCCCTTCCTTCTATAGACATCCAACTCACCACCCCCACCCCCGCCCCAATGACATCGACTACCTAGATCTAATTACACTGGTCTCTTTTGAATGCTGAGGGTGGTATTTGTTGGCATACGGAAAGGTGACTGGCCTCCACTTCTGTCACCTCTTTGACCTTATAACAAGCATGGGTACTTAGACCCTTTTATCCTCAAACTGGAACTTACCCATGATTACCGGTACAGGAACTACCGCGCTTGACGGCCTGCTGAATTACAGGAATAGAAAAAGCTCCCATTGAGAACCTGCCCGGCTCAGTGCCATACACCTTTACCTCTTCCGTAACCCCCAGTAACCTTCTGAGGTCCCATCGCAGAGGAGAAAACTGAGGCCCAGAGACCAAGTCACATGTGGGAAAGGGAGTCCCGCAGGGTCGGGACGGCTCAGCCCCCTCCGTCTACTGATTCTTCTGCTCACACTGCCTCCGTTTCCAGCCACCTGCATACCTACTAGAAAAGCATTATAGTGTTTAAAGAATGTCGTTTTAATGCTTTTTTGTCTTCCTTTTGAAGATGATTGAGTACCCCGAGGCTCATCTGATGATAAAAACATCAGCAGTTGGAAAGCCCCAGAGATACGTCTCCACCCCTTCTCAGTGACTAAAGCTGGGTTTGGAACCTACGAGGGTGTGTGCACCTGTCCTCGGAGCATGTCAGCCGCTCAGGCCTGCCCCGACCTGCCTGTCGGGATCCACAGAGAGCCTTTGTTCCAGGACAAGACAGTGGAGACCTGGGGCAGGGGCTGCAGGCCCTGTGAGCCCATGGAGGGCCTGCTGGTTTGGGGCCCTCCCCTGAACTAGGCCTCCCTGCTTCCTCTGTGTTCCTGAAGTTGGGCCTGTCTATCTGCTCTTGGAGCATGGCCAGAGCCTTGTGAGTTTGGCCTCCAGCTGCCCTGGGGTGAGATTCAAGATCCTGCTCCAGCCCTGCCCCAGCCCTTCCCTGACATACACTCCACCTGTCAGCCCCTCTAGAAACCTGCCTGTGAGCGAAGATGGCCTTCATCCCTGCGTGTCCTTAGAACACCTGGGGCTCGTGCTGCCTGGCCTGAGCTCTGGGGCCAGGCG